AGGGGGCGAGGGCAGGGCACCGGGGGGTACCATAGGGGGCACCAGTTGGTACCATAGGGGGCACTAGTTGGTACCATAGGGGGCACCAGCAGGTCATAGGGGGCACCAGCAAGCCCCATAGGGGGCACCAGCAGGTACCATAGGGGGCACCAGCAGATACCATAGGGGGCGCTGCCCTGATTCATACCATGACGCTGACGACCTCCTCACCCGGGAGCGGAAGGTGGGGGTGCCGAGGGCTAACGAGGCGGCCGCCGGCCGCACCTCTCGTCGCGCTGCGTGAGGTCACACGGCCCGGCCCGCCCATGGCGAGCCCATGACACGCCTCGCGATGACCACCACGGGGGTTTTCACTATCTTTGTCCCGCGCGCGTGCGACTTTTCAATCATGACGACCTCACTGCACCCCCGCGGCCCCGCCCCGCCCCGGCCCTGCGGTCAGTGTCTGTCAGAGAGACAGAGAGCCGCCGTGTGCATGTGGGGTCGATCGCCTTCCGGTCGGGCCGCCAAACCGCGATTACAACCGTCGTGGGGATGACACCGCGGTGCCGTGGCCGGCGATAGGGGAGCAAGGGAGAGCAAAGGTGGGGAGCAGAGTGAGAGAGAGGGCTGAGCTGGGCAGAGGGAGCGCGAGTAGAAACAGAGCCAGGTCGGAGCAGCGGGGCGGGGCGGGGCGGGGCGGGGGCCGCGGCGGTGGAGAGCACACCGACGAGCCCGGCGCCGCGAATGCAGAGTAAACTCATTACAGCGGGACGGTATACCCGCGGTCCTATATGCCTCCCGCCCCCTGGCAGCCGGCGCTACGCTGCGCAGAGCGATGGCGATGTGTGTGTGTGTGTGTGTGTGTGTGTGTGTGTATGTGTGTGTGTGTGTGTGTGCGCGCGTTCGCACAATGATGGCAAACTCGACTCTGCATGGACTTACCTGAGCGAGGGGCATAAATGTGGTTCGCGGGGATACATAGACAGACGAGCTTAATGCTCGGGGAGTGAGGTTGAGAGGGGGAGGGGGCGTCACGGAGAGGAGAGGAGAGGGAGAGAGTGGAGAGAGGGGGAGAGAGCGGAAGCAGAACGAGGAGAGGGGGGGGGGTGCAAATGGACCCCTCTTATTGGCGTTGTACCAACGTACGCCGCGCTTTGTGCAGAACGTCGGGCCTCGCAGTGGATCCCAACCGGGACCTGCACCACCACCACCGCACTGACGTGATCATCCGTCGTCGGGCACGGCCACTCCATCTCGCTCCCTCTCCCGATCTGTCTCTCTCTCTCTCTCTCTCTGTCTGTCTCTCTCTTTCGCTCTCACTCTGTCATCCACTGACGCACACATGACGGACAGCAGGGGGGCTGTTTGGTGTTCCGGAAGCAAATACGCAGCACTGATGCGCTGGCGCTGTCCGCCACGCCCCACCGAGCCTGTGTTCCGACTGACATTTAGGCTTCGGTCCACGGTGGCAGAGCAGAGCCTTTGTTCTCGCTGTTGTTTTTTTGTGCATGCCTGCGTGCGTGATTGAGTGTGTGCTAGAGAGGTGTGAGTTAGTATGGACGAAGTATCAGCACTTCAAATCAACAGTGCTCTGCAGGTGAGTGTGAGCTCGCCCTCTAGGGTATGAGGCGAGGTATGAGGCGCCCTATGGTGCCTAGCGAGTAAGCCACCCACTCACACGCGTGAATGCGTTACAGCATAGGCCAAAAGAGTACGGGGTCTATGGGATACCCTGTGTGCCTCTATCTCATCCTTCTGGTTCTGATTACTTTTTTCGTTGCAACAAGCTGCTGTGTTGTTGTTGTTACCATTACTACTCTCTCTACATACAATTATCATCATTATCATCTCCCTCCAAGTATTTCTCTTTTTTTGGGACATGCGCCCGTGCGCGGTGCGCCCTGCTCCCTGTAATGGCTGTCGTATCGTGTCGTCATTACAACGAGGGGCGCGCCCGCCGTGTAACGAGCCGCGCCACTACACGCACTGCATGTCCGCGTAGCTCGGCCCGCATCCTTCTCGAGGAGGAGAGCGACATCACCTCGGCAGGAGGCACGGCGACATGCTGTACAGGGCCTCGACACGTCGCGCTGATTATAGGCAGGTTCTCCCCTCGCTTTCCTAACGCGCCCGCGCACCCTTTCCAACTCGTTTGTTTTTACTTTTTTCGTCAAAGAAATGTATTATTTGCGGCTGCTCCTGCCTCATGCTTATGACTCCACGCGGACGGCTCTAAGGAGCCATAAAGCGGTGGGTGATATGGGTTTGCCCATGGGGCCCAGCAGGTTATTGATTAGAGCAGCAGGGCCAGCAGGGCCAGCAGGAGCAGTAGAAGTAGGGCCAACAGTGCTAGCAGGCCAGCAGGAGCAGCAGCAGGGGCAGCAGCGGGCACCAGCGGGCACCAGCAGGGTCACAAGGACCAGCAGGGCCAGTAGGAGCAGCCGGGCCAGTAGAAGCAGCAGGCCCAGCAGGAGCAGCAAGCCCAGCAGGAGCGAGACCCGCGGTGTGATGGTGCTCGCGGCGGAGGCCACGGTGGAGGTGAGCGAGTCCAGAGTCCTCTGCGTCGAGCAGAGGCGCGGCGCGGTGTAGGTAGCGCCCCCGGTCACATTCCGGGCCGGCGGGGCGGGGCGGGG